TGTATGGCCTGAAGTAGGTTTCTACCTTTTGGCGTTGTTAGCCTCGCTCCCCAGTCTATGTGTTTTGAGTTCCAGTCGCCACCTATGAGGAATCGAGTTCCTTGCGATTGGAGGAAAGTGGTGTATTCGCTGGTAGAGATTGGATGTCTCGGCGGGCAGTAGATTGCGGTTACGGTAAATGGCCATGGCTTTGCAGTGACTCGTATACTAGCGGCTTGTATTTTGTCGGTTTGATAGTGCACAAGTTCGTGGTGAGGTATCGAGTTTCTGACGATCACGGCTGCGCCCCCGTGGGCCCTGTCGTCTGGGTGATGAATGTGATATATCTTGTAGGTAGGGATCTTGAGTACAGTTTTGCTGGTGAAGTGCGTTTCTGATATGAGGGCGATGTCTATTTTGTGCATGCTAAGGAATGTTTGTAGTTCCATTTTATGACTGGATAGCCCATTGGCATTAGTGACTGGAAATAAACGAGTGTTTTTGGAAATTTAATCGTGTGAATTTCTGTGGGGGATGTTAATTGAGGCCGAGTCTCACACGCATGACAGTAGGTACCTAAGAGNCGATTCGAACCCACGATCCCGGCTTCCGAGCGAGCGAAGACAGTGCACGCCTTAGACCGCTCGGCTACCGTGACCGGCAAGAGAGTAATCATACTGTTATATTATAACTAATGGCCGGACACGGTAGCCGAGCGGTCTAAGGCGTGCACTGTCTTCGCTCGCTCGGAAGCCGGGATCGTGGGTTCGAATCGCACTCAGGGCATGGATGTTTAGTTTGTGTGTGTGCGTTTTTCTGTTTGTGTACAAGTAGAGGCTTTGCGACGAGCTGATCACCCGCCAAAGGAGTCCTACCGAATGTGTAAGATCTAGAAAAACCGAAGTGAACGGAGAAGTTCATGGAGGTAGGCCTGGGCCCACAGGGGGCCGTAGTGCCAAGGAAAACAAAAATATAACTGATGAAATGTGTCTCATGTTTCATTCCCGACAACATATCGAACTGTCTCATCATTGGAAGCAACAGCAAATATTTCAGTCCCATAACCAAGTGTACCCCGGCCGTCCAACGGTGACGGAATGAAGGCGGCCGGAGCTTTTATGAACGGCGACTACGGAGGGATTTGAGTAAGATTCTAGCTCCGAAATGCTATACCGCAGTAAGTAATCTCTTTATTGGCATATCTTGTAAGAATCAGCACAGTAATCACCGTGACAAATGTAGACAATTTACACAAGATATATACGCAATGGACACACATGGATATCATTTTCGGATTTAGCGTATCTGGATTGCTATAAATGAAGCAGAATTCCCCCGACGACGAATCCTTCACAGAATAATTATTACTGTAAAATTGTAATACGTGTAGTAGAACACAAAGTCGCAGGTTTTACTCGTGTATAGGGCTACGGGCTTCGTAGCCGGTAGTTCATCATTTTACATTAATCTAAAGGTAGAGTTATGTGTAAGGTAAACTTTACTACCCCCAAATGTAAACCAGCAAATTAACCCAGCGTTTAACAAATCCCAGGCGCCAGGTTGCCATGCTTCCTAAATTCTCAGTTTGGTGCCTCGTATTAAAGTGTTAGCTTTGCCCTGTATACATGTATGAAACGTTTAAAATTCACCGCTTATAGTTCAGAGCCCGTTATGAAGATCACGAGTTCGGGCAGTGGTGAAACATGCATCTTTTCTGCTTACACTTCATCAGCCTAGAGAGAAGAATGTCTTATCGTGATTGGAATAAGCCTAATTGGTGATCTGAAATTGATTACAGCCAGTCAGTACTGACATTATTTAGATGTTCCCTTCACTGTATTATATTATGACATGATGCCCGAAATCCGGAATAATGAAGTCAGAATAGACGTTCATTCCTAGAAAACGATTCGGTAAAGATTTCCCACTGCAACGAATACCTACACAACAATCGGGTAACTTCCGCTGCTATGCAGTGACGCTGTAAACAACAGTAGAGAGGCTGAGTTTTCTGCGTGGTCCATGCAAAGTGGTTGTAAAGAAGATTTCAGTCGGGAACAGTTAGTTGAGTTTGAGATGCCAACCTTCCGGGATATGAGCTTGGGAGCAGAGGAACTGAATTAAGTCGAGTCTTCGGCATTGGCAGTTGAGGTTTCAGCTGTGGAGTGTTAACCAGCGGCCAACGGAAGCTGAAGAATCTCCGTTGTTAAGATTCATTACCAGAAACGTGTACTGAAGACACTGCAGAGGAAGAGCCATTGTGGGTAGTGGCTACCAAGTAAAATCTAGTGAAAGTAGACTGGGAAGACTTAGTGCGGAGTGATTTTTGGTGTGGAAATCAGCAATAGTGTTATAGTTATTTGTAGTTGCGACCTGTAAGTGGTCAATAAATCTATTCACCAATACAAACTCCGGCTACAGTCATTAATACACGTGACAATATTGTAAATGTCTTGGCCAAACTTTGCAATGAGTAATTTTACGTGTTCCTGGGTTATTATGAAGAAATTAAACGCTGTTTAATTTTTGAAATTTGAAGTTTTGAACGTCAAGTACTAAAATATTCTGCGATGTGGCAACAGGCGGTTTGATGCCAAAGCTTACCGATATACCCTACAGATAGAGGCTGCAAGTTATTCCAAAATTTTGGTACCTAATTAAAACATCTCTCAGATTACGTGATAATTTGCATCCTGTCCCTTGTGACACTCTAATAAATATTACTTGCCGAAATAAATCTTAAAATATGTACGAAAACGTGGTGCATTTTAAAGCCGGAAATTAGTATTAAACACTATAGTTTCATCTTGATTAAAATCTCGGTTCACGCTGCTTCAGATTGCCGAAGGTAGAGTAAAGCGGGCAAATAACGCCACCAATTCAGTTAACGGATCACAGGTTTCGAACTACTCGTATTTATCAGAAATAACCTGATTTGAATTTTATTTTTAGAAGCTACAGTCTTCAAAATTTCAGAGACGTTGTTTCTAAAATTTAGAATCTCATTCTCTTATGGAACGTTAATTTAAGAAAGTGTAAAATGGCCCTATTACTATGCAGGAAGGATATTAACGCCAGTAGCAGTTAAAGTTTTCCTTAAAATAAAACGCATGAAATCAAAATTTAATTGAAAATAAAATTTTCAGCAGTACAATATGGTAACATGGTAACATAATTATTTAAACTCGAACCTCTTCCTTTCCAACCTTCAGTACATTATTACATTTTTATCAGAAAATGCTTTAAAAGTGAATAAACTGTTCACAAAAGAGCAGCTGCTTTCATACCTATTCAGTCACTGGTTTGAATCCAATCGTAATTGCCTTTAGAAGTGAAACAGTAGCGACCAGTCCCCAAAAAACACGCAATTTTCTTATTATTGTCTTGCTGTCTTCTCTGTTTCAGTCGTTTCTGTGCTTGGTTTTTTTCTTTTCCCTGGCTCATTCTTAAAGAGATCTTGAGCTATTCATATTTAGAGATGGCTGAGGAGGTTTAGCTATGCACCACATTTTGGAGAAATCGTTGACCTACTGACCTTGAACGAGCGATTTCAGGCGATTTATAAGTTGCCGACCGTTCCTGATTATTACTTCCTGAATAGATTTCTTGGTCTCGGCTGACGTCGCAGTGACGGACGCTCTGAGTGAGCGAGAGCGACAGCTGGGAACGAAGTTCGTTTCTGGTAGGATGTCTGGATTAAATAGTTTTATCCACATAGATCTAAACTCTGCTACTGCAACTCTTGTGGGTGACAGTTTTCATCCAACTTTCAGCTAATAGTTTTGGAAATTGAAGTTTTCCAATTCTTCTAGGATTTATCGTTCCGTAATTATGCAGATATTCTTTCCGTAACACTTCGAATAATGGAAAAACTTTGTCAACTGGCTGGAGCTCATGGCTGCAATGAGCACGAAGGCAAAGTAACTGGGTATTTAGTTTTACGCTTCAACAATAACAGAGGAATGTAAGTGAGCTCGAAGTCCGTACAAAATTAAAGGGACTGATGCAAAAATTTGCAGAACTGTTCTGTTGTTATGCACTTACAGTCCTTCGGAGTCTTGTAGTCCTCTTGTAGGAAGGACGTCTCCAAATGATTCCCTTCTGTACGTAAGATTTGAGGTTTTCACGGCGGTGATTCTGAAGAATGTCATTTTCTGGGATGTGGCCCCGTGTAGATCTTGTGTGAACCGAAGTTTCGGATGAACGAATCGCCTTCATCTTTAGGGTAGAAAAATCCACGTGTGAGGAACCAACTTGAGCAAGTGGCTACAGACTGAGCCTTACAAAATGCGCCACTTCCCAGAAGAAGACATTCTTAATATTGCCTTCTTTTGTTAAGGTTATAAAGAACCACTGGGAAGTCCAATTGCTTGTACCTGCATTCATGCAGTCCACTATGTCACTGTTTCTCCTTTTCCCCCGTGAGTAGAATGTGAACATTTTACTACACTTTACAGCCGGCAGCTTTTGATTACCAGAATTTGTTGCCAACTGAAGTCCTGTCCCATTTAACTCAAGTTAAATGAAGCTGTTGGAGCAACTTCACAGCTTCACTTTTTGCCTCAAGAATTTGAAGAAATCATCTGCAGTTGCTGTGTGAAATCTCATTAATCGGCCGCAGATGAGGTTTTCTTCTTTCCTCGGAATGAAGCCTGGGTTCCTTCTTCAGAAAGCAAATAAACGAGCCTTCCCACCATTCTGTCTTTCCACGGAATCTGAGTGCTGTGCCCCCTGCATATTTTAACAGCAACCCTGTTAACGCGATTTCGTGTAAACTTCTTGTAAACGGATAATTCTCTAGTGGAGTTATTTTCCAGCATCAGCAGGTAAGACTGCATTTCGCTCAAGCTTGTTTAGAGGAGATGAGATCCCTCTCCACTGAGCAAGTCGCGAAGTTTTCTGCGAGCAATGCCGTGTATCCTGGCTGAAGCTGCAAGAGGAGTCGCAGAATTTACAGCAGATGCGGGGAGCTCTAAATTTTCAGTTAATCATTGGGCCCTGACGCCAACCTTTGCATGCTTTTATCATGACCTCAAAAGAAAGCTAGCAAACTTTCGGACCAAAATTCTGAAAGAAAGAACTTAAAGAAAACGGCGGAAGAATGATGGTGGAAAGAACAGTAGAAAGCAGAGTAACGTGAAGACGTCTTATTTTCATTTCAAACCTGATAAAAGGCAAATTAAAGCAGGTGGCGGGCCACGCTATAGCTCAAGCGGTTAGTCGCTGGCTCCCCACCGCGGCGGCCGGGTTCGATCCCCGGGTCTGATTAAGTGGGATCTGTGGTGGACAGTACTTCGATTTCCCCTGCCAATCTTCATTCCATCAAATTCTCCATCATAATCACCCGGGGCAGGCTACAATAGGTCAATCAGTGGCCTTCGTGCCGAGTGGACCCAGTTGGACTCCACCCCCACTAAGCGAATTAAAAAAAAAAGAAGCAGGTGGCGTTGTAGCCTAATCGACAGTGGCGGCGTTTTCTTTTATTGTTAGTGGGGTTGGTCTAAGTCCCTTGTACTGCGGCCAGCCCCAGGAAATAGGTGAGGGTGAATGTGGAGAAATTGGTGGAATGAATATTGGCAGGGTAAACCGAAGTTCTTGGAGAAAACCTGCCCCAGCGCCACTTTGTCCACCACAAATCCCACCTGACCAGACCCGGGATGGAACCTGGGCCGCCGCGGTGGGAAGCAAGCGACTAAGCTCTTGAACTATGGCGCGGCCCCAGTGGTACTGTTACACGTGCTCTAATGTTCTCGCTCATTGCGGACTAAATTTAGAGAAGTCTAATACATAAGCCTTTTAATACCTACCTCAGAAAGGAAATTAAACATGGCATCTAGTCACATAAAATCTACAATAATATCCGCTGATTTCTGTAACACTGAGACTCGTTAATTGTGACAGCGCGAATATTCAGGCGTTCCAAAATGGAGGTAGTAACTGACACGCGAAGACTATTCGAGCTCTTGGAGCCTGCTGAGATAGACCACGATGGTTACAAGGTGACACCGGTAGTTGTGTGGATGTGATACAGCACTCACAGCAACTAACCACAGACGAACTCCCTACAAGATTTTCAAAACTACTTTCAACAGATTCTGGTGGTGTTAATTGCCCCCCGCACCCTGTACAGAAGGAGGTATACGGAATATGCTGAGTCCTAATTTAATAGCATAAATGCATTTTTATGTGTCAGCCAAGTTACTAGAAATATGTACTTCTCTTAATTTCGAAACATGAAGGGGAAATTTAACAATTAATCTTTTAAGAGTTCTGTCTTCTATGATGTAACGCCGTGCAGTGTGGTAGCAAGGAGTGTTGTATTGAATTCTGTTGCGTAATTAACTTGCTACGAATGTTATTTGTCGCTTATAAACTCTCTTCTTATTTACTGTGAATATTTTAATGTGTGACAATCGGGGATGAAACTTCTTTCCAGCTGTTTGTTTATTGCTAATTGGTGTGGGAATATGTAAAGTAGGCATTTCAACGCAAAATACATGTATGACTCAATGTGAAAGAGCTTTCTCCGAAGAACTAAATAGATGGAAAATTGTACCTGTATTACAAGGGAACCTGAAGTTTGATTTAAGTACCTGTATTATTATTAACATTATGTATCTACATACTGACCCACCAAATTTTTAGTATAGTTTTGAAATAATGGATAATACTCTTCATATTAATGACTTACTGCTTGGCATTTATCTAAGAAGCACGCAGAGGTTACAACTGCAAGCATAGTGGGGTCCCTTAGGGCGCCATTGTCTTCTCGCATCTGTTCGCTCAAAGCCTACTTACATATCAGAGGCATACCTTTCGAAAGGTATCACTCCTGGTGAAGGGTCTGAGCATTGCTAACATCGCATCGGTGATAGCGTTAGAATTCAGGAAGTGGGTTCCAATCACGCTTCCGGGTAATGCGTCCTGCGGGAAACATAAATAAAAAAATATGTAGGCTTATAGTAATTAACGAATTAATTAAACGTAGCAAAATAATAAGTAACTGATACAAAACAACATAATTGGTAATAAAAGTATACAATTATATAAATAATCACACAAATAAATCTAAATGTGAAGATACATAATTATCCGGCAGCATAACCCGAAGGCTCACTACCAATAATACCGAGACCTGCCAGTGAACATGATCCTGCGTTGTACCGCTAAACTACTGTAAATTTCTAGCCGGTCAGATGAAATACTAGCAATGACGATGCGACAGATGACTGCATGGAAGGAATGGATAATTCTTGTCAGTAGCAGGTACACTTAGTGGCAACATTTATTACAGTAACTAAAATTCACTACATCTGCTGCATGGGTCACTATCAAAATCGCGTTCCCCAAACTGGATCATCATTTGTTCTGCTTTCTTTTTCTATCAGATTATCCATAGCCCAGTCCTTTGTATGCCAACCAGTATGCTTCCAGCAACCTGAGTCCCAGAAACACGTCAAGCGACATTCTTTTGTGTGTGCGCTGCTTTTTAAATTAATTTTATTGCTTTGAGGTCATAGTGGTATGGAGATACACGTACTTTGTGATTTCGGGACGTTATCTTCCAAATACTGAATCGGACTAATATTTCGATGAAGGACCGTAAGTTTGGACAACTTGAAACAGTTCATTTGTCGTCATTCCATTTTGGAAGCATATGCTTCTGAGGCCATTCCCAGAATCTCCTATTTTCCTTGACAAAGTAGGAGGGACATCAATTCAGGCTTAATGGTGTGCAACGTTGCCTAACTTCCAGGCTCGTCAGTGGAAGGTTACTCGAAACCAGTTTTTCCACCCAATTCTAAAATATTCTGAGTTCATTTCGTTGTCTTATTCGCCACTTTTATCTTTGATTTAGACATTAGGAATGATCTAGAAAGAACCCCCCTTTCAGATGCAGCGTCACTATTATCCAACAGAGACTAACATTGTCGTTGTTCATTACGTGCTGTCTTTCCAGCACTTAACTGACTATACATGACAGGCGGATCCACGCCTCATAATAACAATTTTCTTCTTTACACCCAGTTCATCGCTTTTCATTTTTCTTTAATAGTCTGCCCTCCATGCTACATTTTCCTTTCTTTCAATTAACATCAACTTCTTATTTATACATTGTAAGTTTGAAACCGGTCTTCTTCAACACTCTCCTCAAGAACTCGTTGCTCTCAGGAAATTTATACCTGCTTTCAAGGTCGTTAAAATGTGTTTTATTTCTTTAATGAAGCTGTTACTTTATTATGCGTAAATCAAGGTCAATGAAGATAGTTCCTATGAAAGGAGGCTTACAGTTTTTATCAGATCACTTTCGTTTTCCTCCGCTAGAGTTTGCAATGTTACCTTATCCCCTGATTTTGCAGATAGCGACTTCGGCTCATTTTCCGGTAACGGCAGCTACGCTTTATTTTGCAATTTTCAACTGAGTGTTTTAGATTCAACCGGCCAGAGTTGAAGTCCCGAACTTAAACACTTAGGTTGTGACAGCGTGCTGCCTGGCCAAGGTTACAGAACTCTTTTGCAGGTTAGGGAGGTTCAGATGAATATGGCGTATTGATAAAATGATAATTAACAGGAAGAATACTGAAGAAACTCAAGGTGAATCCCGCTTTGGTGTCACTTCATCGACTATGAAGCTCACATTAAGTTGCCCTGGATTAACACGGCTGTGTGAAGCTGGCATCTAATTGCATGAGCAATGACACGGCCCTAGATAAATGAATACAAAATGAAAGGGAACTTCTTTGGAAACATTCATACCTCGTCGCAGTGCATACATTTTATCGTTTGTTCAAGTGAATAGTGGAAAGGTGAGAGAACATACCTGCGTGTACATGCAGTACTTCTTCACAGTTTGGATATTCATCTTCCTCAGGTGTCCAAAGCCAAAGCCCTTTGAGTCAACGAGAATAACAAACCCGGGCACTGTACCATTTTCCAGAAGAAAGACGTCTTGCAGCATGAACCAAGTTTTCAAGGCGTCATTGTAATGAAATTTGTCTGGGTTGAAATCCGCCGCACATGCAATCATGACAGCATTTCCGTGCTGGTCTCTTTTTGGCATTATTGCAAACTGCCTGTAAAATTTAACACTATGATTGGATTACAATCAATCTTATAGCATCACCTTTTCCGTCTCCCATAATGACTCTGAAACAAATTATAAAACACTCCGTCCAATGTGACCTCCTTGGACGGAGTGTTTTATAATTTGTAATTGTTATTGTGACGGACCAGAATGAAACAAATCAGACTCTGAAACGGTTGACACGTTTTCCTGAATCTTGATATAGTATATATGTCATAGCGCATGAAGTAACCTATTGTTGTATCATCAGTAATGTCGACATGGTAGCCATGACGACTTCTGAGGTGGCAGCAAAACTAGCGGTGCGTTATGTGCTTTTAAGTTTGGTGTGATGGAAGGTGATCGAAGAAAATGTAACTTCTTTTAAGGTAGTACATGTATAATATAATACAAAATGGTGGCCAAATGAAATCTCCATGGGAATGACTAAAGAACCACCGGAGCTACAGGGTCGACCAGAAAGAATATCGGGATTTCAAACGCCTGCGACTCAGCAACAAAAACATTTATAACGGTTTGGTAGTTGCAATGTAATCGTAAGCTCCGTTTCACTCACATTCGTTGCTCGCGCATCCCAACTATATTTAACGGACGGCAGAGTAAGTCGTATGGTTTTCACTGATGAGACAAAATTTCACATTTCCGGAAGTATCAGTCGGCTTAACTGTAACACTTGGGGCAGTGAGACTCCAAGAGAACATGAAGAACAATAACAGGAGAATCCTAAAGTGAATGTGTGCTGCGCTTTGATACATGAGTCATCGGCCTGTTTTTCTTTGATGAGAACATGGTTACAAGTAATTAATTCCAAGACATATTGGAAAACTATGCTCCTCCGCGGCTCGACAACAAGAATCTTATTCAACTGGACGCTGCAGTGCGCCTAATCATGTTACTCACAATGTCCGCGACTGTTCAAACATGAATTTCCTATATCGATGGGTAAGAAAAGGAGGACCAGTTACGTGGGCCTCTCTTTCTCCTGATCTTATGCCTTTGGACTTCGAGTGTGGGGGTGTTTAGTGAAAGGTGAGATGTACAGCCAAATAAGGAATGAGATGGATGAACGCTGATCACTGTAACAGTTCCAAATGTTACAGTGTGCATGTTACAACGCGTCTGGCAGGAGCTGGATTGTAGGTGGGATGTAGGCAGGCCTACATCTGGCGATCAGTGGTGACTCTTTCGCGCCTAATAACTTTTCCACTTGTACATAAAGGAAACGTTTCAATTTGTTGATGAAATACATCGTATGATGTAAATCCGGCACACCTGTTTTCATTCCTGGGATATTGCGATACTCCTTTCTGGTAAATCCTGTAATTCATGAAGTGTGTATGTTTGTGTGTTCGTGTATATGTATATATGCGTCATGCAAACATTCAGGAAGCCCGCTCATATCCACTTTATTATTTTGACCATGAAAATACTATGTTAAATTAATAAAAAATTGTTGTGATGGAAGGAATTGTATGTTTTAGGCATGTTTGCAACCTTGCGGAGGCCAAGGTTACATCACCCGTCCGTCTGTGTGCATAGAAACGACACGAGAAAACTACATTAATTTTCGTGAAAACATACAGATATTTACGAAAAATTTTCAAACAATTCATACTTTCATTCTCCAATTTACCGTTTCTCGTAGGCCTACATGCGTTTCACTGGGTATCTGAAATACAATTTATATCTAGCTGGTCGAAAAATGTTTTAACTTTTTTAAATAAATTTGGACAGCTTTCATATACGAGTATATATAGAAGAACGCATAAAATTGAACTTAAGAATTAAAGAACCTATCAAACTGAACGAGGTAAGTCAGTATTTTACCACCTGCTTACAGGAAGCAGCATGGTATTCAAGACCCACCCCAAAGGAAGAAATGATGAAAACAGTTTATATCCCTTTCCATATATGTGAGCTGGTAACCGCAGGTGGCAGAGATCAAGAAATAATAGGCTTATTTATAACAGAGTAAAGCGAAAACTACATTACGTCATAACAGACGCGAGGAATAAAATATTCGAACACTGTATTGCGTCTCTCTCTAAATATGACCACTCACTCTGGAAGGCAACAGAAAAGTTCAAAAGACCCAAAATATTGATCCCGCCGTAAAAAAATCGGACAGAAGCTGGGCAAAATGTGATAGTGAAAATGCCACAATATTCGCGGAACATCTTGAACAGGTNTTGTGCGGATTTATGTTATTAATTTCTTGTACTGGTTCTCTAGGTGAGAAGGGTTCGATAGGTAACGACATTTGACATGGTACTTCCAGGAAATCTTCAATTTCACTGTCATTATGATTTATGTAAGAATATGTAAGAACCTGTTCAAGATTGATATGTTGGGATTTTGGACTTTATCCATCGTCCTGGTTTTTAAGATAACAAATAAAAACACGACGTTTCGGAAACATCCAGTTTCCGAAACGTCGTGTTTTTTTTTTTGTTATCTTAAAAAACCAGGACGATGGATAAAGTCCAAAATCCCAACATATCAATCTTGAACAGGTTCTTACATATTCTTACATAAATCATAATGACAGTGAAATTGAAGATTTCCTGGAAGTACCATGTCAAATGTCGTTACCTATCGAACCCTTCTCACCTAGAGAACCAGTACAAGAAATTAATAACATAAATCCGCACAAACACCTGGTTATGACCTTATCACAGGAAAAATACTAAGACAGTTTCCAAGAAAATTAATAGTATTGCTAATGACCACCTGTAACAGCATGCTCAGAATGTCCTACTACCCGATTATGTGAAAATTCGCCCAGATCATAATGATACCTAAACCTGGGAAACCTCCAACGAAGTAAATTCATATCAGCCGGTTAGTTTGCTGCCGGTCACATCGAAGCTTTTTGAAAAGTTACTATTGAAGAGAGATAGAAACTGTTATTCCCAATTGCCAATTTGGATTCAGGGAAAGACACTCCACAAAACAACAAACACACAGGATCGTAAACAAGATCGCAACAAACCTCGAAAGGAAAACACCGTGTGCAGCAATTTGCCTTGAAGTAACTCAGGCGTTTGACAAGGTCTGGCACACTGGACTACTGTATGAAATCAAAATTGCATTCCCGAGCCTATACTGCCTACTTTTAAAGTCATATATAACTGAAAGGCACTTTCAAATAAAATATAATATTTCATATTGAAATTGGTACCAGCTGAAATCAAGTGTGCCTGAAGGAAGCGTGATGGGGCCCCTACCATACTTAATCTATACAGCAGACTTGCCCACAACAAACAGCACTACAATCGCAACCTTCGCTGATGGCACAGCCCTTCTAGCAGCAAATAGTGGTCCAGTAGTAGCATCACAATATCTTCAGCATCACCGCAACCTCCTCCAGCAGCGGTACAGTATATAGAAAATCAAAATATACCAGACAAAATCAGTGCAAGTTACACACCATGAAGCACATAACTTTCCCGCAGGTTACCATCAATAATATGCAAATACCGGTCCAAACCGAAGTAAAATACTTGGGATTATACCTCGACCAAGAACTGACATGGCAGAAACACATCAAAACAAAGTATCAGAAATTAAATTTAAAACTACGAGAAATGTCCTGGCTTTTGGGCCGTAAAACCAAGCTATCCATAGAAAACAAACTTCTACTATACAAGTGTATAATTAAACCCACATGGACATATGGTATACAGCTATGGGGCTGTACAAAACCATCAAACACAAAAATAATTCAAAGACTTCAATCCAAATTCTTGCACTCAGTAACTAAAGCACCTTGGTATGTCTCCAACTTTACTATCCACAATGATCTGCAAATCCAATTTGTCATAGAAGAAATACATAGATTGTCAAGACTCTACCATCAAAGCATATTCGGACACAAAAATCAGACTAGCTGTAGAAATTAGCAGCCCACCAAGTGTAAGAAGAAGATTGAGGAGACAGTGGCCGTCTGACCCAACACAACCCGCAGATGACGAAGATGAAAACCATCACCGTTCCTCTACAGGACCTGTCAGAATATCATCAGTGGAAGTCTTCTCTACTCAAGACAACTGCTTAGAACAAATTTACTTATTGCTCCATATTATCGAGAGTAGACTGTAAATAAGCTATTAAATACTAATAAAGAAAACTATTTTAAATGTTGTAACATGTGGTACCGTTTCTATGGAACGATCGCGAGAAGAACCATGCGTTGCTTGGTAACTGTCGCTAAACAAGTTCCCGCTGAAACGAGAAACACACAGCAATACATTTACAATGGAAACGGGACTGTTTCTTGTTGGGTCCGTCCAGAGGCCATAGAGCGAGGACTGCAGGACGGCTGAATAGAGTTAATTGTCAGATGAGAGTAGAAAATATGGCTGAGAACAGACGGCGCTATAGTTGAGTTGACATTTGACAGATGACAAGAGTTCTGTACGGGAAGCTATGACAAGAGGACCTGAGCCCGGGAACGTGAAGAATCTCCACTTTTAAAAGCCGTTGTTGGGGAACGGCTGATTATGACACAGAAGGCTGGAAAAGGCTTAGCGCGTACTTCTGTTATTTGTAAAGTCTGGAGATCATCGTTAGCGCTCTATTAGGTTACATTACATTCCTCCAAGATGTTACTATATTATGTTTAATTTCACGCTGGATCAGTTGGACTAAATGCTTACATTACCGACAAGGATTGTTGTACTCCGTCCCCTTTAGGATCCCTGGCTGCAAACAGTTCTGGTGAATGCGTACGAATTGTGTAATACGTCTCGATAACTTGTTTGCAGTCCTCCAGGTGATATTGACAGCAGTGCAGAAACAGGATTAGTTGTTCATCTGTTGACCCAAATGAGACACGTTTGAGATTTGACAAAAGAAACACGAGCTTCTCAATTTAGCTAAGCAAGTGCACACCGTTGTACATATGCACATGCTCCACTAGGTATTTATTGTGTAATATATTGTCAGAATCTGCACAACATTGAAGTAATTCATGAAATGTTTCGGTGAATAATTTTTTAGTAGTAACGAGAAGGGACTACTCCGAAAGTGACAATTTCTTATCTCGATTGTAGTGGCTGTACAAAAGTGGAGCCAACCGCTTTCAGGTATTGCTAAACATCTTGTCTTGTAAATCAAACCTTTCAGCTGGGTAACATCCTAATATTCGATGTGACTTTAGTTCATCATCTTACACACTTCTCCATCTTACTCAGCTTTCCCTGACATTTGGTATTCTTTACCTAAAATCCGAAAGGAACTAAGACGACTCGAGAGAGTGGCCTGCAGATGGGGGATAATATTAAAATTTATTTAATTTACATGATTTTCGTATTTTTAAACAGAATGGAATGGGCTCACATTTGTTGGCTATTCAGAACATGGGATTCTACATTGCCTGTGATGAAATTTCTGTTACATTACAGAAAGGGTGTCATTGTTGTAATCCGTTATTTTTGCCATGGTTGCTGTTGCTGTTTCTACACATATGTAGTTCTTTAAATGTGGTATCCTACTTAACGAAACAAGGGAATACATTCCAGGCGTTTGAAAAAGTTTTGTGGCAAATATTTGGCTCGAAGAAGTAAGTTTGAAATGAAGGCTATTACATAACGTTAAATGTCGCAATTCTAAAAGTCACGTGATATCGGAAAAGTTGCCAAGTCGAGAATATTAAGACGTGCTGGAGAGTAGTTGGTTGTGGTATTAGCTGAAGAAAGAATAAAATATCTGTGTGGAGAACTTGGACAGTATGGAAACTGTCTATTTCAGTTAATATTCTCGGGGTTTCTAATTTCATAAATTGGAAGACGTATACTTATTAATTACAAAATATGTGTAACAACGTTAAAATAATTTTCTCTTCTNCTTACATTACCGACAAGGATTGTTGTACTCCGTCCCCTTTAGGATCCCTGGCTGCAAACAGTTCTGGTGAATGCGTACGAATTGTGTAATACGTCTCGATAACTTGTTTGCAGTCCTCCAGGTGATATTGACAGCAGTGCAGAAACAGGATTAGTTGTTCATCTGTTGACCCAAATGAGACACGTTTGAGATTTGACAAAAGAAACACGAGCTTCTCAATTTAGCTAAGCAAGTGCACACCGTTGTACATATGCACATGCTCCACTAGGTATTTATTGTGTAATATATTGTCAGAATCTGCACAACATTGAAGTAATTCATGAAATGTTTCGGTGAATAATTTTTTAGTAGTAACGAGAAGGGACTACTCCGAAAGTGACAATTTCTTATCTCGATTGTAGTGGCTGTACAAAAGTGGAGCCAACCGCTTTCAGGTATTGCTAAACATCTTGTCTTGTAAATCAAACCTTTCAGCTGGGTAACATCCTAATATTCGATGTGACTTTAGTTCATCATCTTACACACTTCTCCATCTTACTCAGCTTTCCCTGACATTTGGTATTCTTTACCTAAAATCCGAAAGGAACTAAGACGACTCGAGAGAGTGGCCTGCAGATGGGGGATAATATTAAAATTTATTTAATTTACATGATTTTCGTATTTTTAAACAGAATGGAATGGGCTCACATTTGTTGGCTATTCAGAACATGGGATTCTACATTGCCTGTGATGAAATTTCTGTTACATTACAGAAAGGGTGTCATTGTTGTAATCCGTTATTTTTGCCATGGTTGCTGTTGCTGTTTCTACACATATGTAGTTCTTTAAATGTGGTATCCTACTTAACGAAACAAGGGAATACATTCCAGGCGTTTGAAAAAGTTTTGTGGCAAATATTTGGCTCGAAGAAGTAAGTTTGAAATGAAGGCTATTACATAACGTTAAATGTCGCAATTCTAAAAGTCACGTGATATCGGAAAAGTTGCCAAGTCGAGAATATTAAGACGTGCTGGAGAGTAGTTGGTTGTGGTATTAGCTGAAGAAAGAATAAAATATCTGTGTGGAGAACTTGGACAGTATGGAAACTGTCTATTTCAGTTAATATTCTCGGGGTTTCTAATTTCATAAATTGGAAGACGTATACTTATTAATTACAAAATATGTGTAACAACGTTAAAATAATTTTCTCTTCTGCTGCTGCTGTTATTAGTCCTACTGCTACTACTACTACTACTACTGCTGCTGTTCCTACTACTACTACTTTTACTACCACTTCTACTACTACTGCTACTGCTGATGGTACTACTACTACTGTTGCTGGTACTATTACTACTGCTGNTACTGCTGATGGTACTACTACTACTGTTGCTGGTACTATTACTACTACTACTACTGCTCCTACTACTACTATTACCACTACTAGTAATGCTGCTACTACTGCTACCGCTGTTCCTACTACTACTATTACTACCACTTCTACTACTGCTGCTACTGCTGATGGTACTACTGCTGCTGGTACTACTACTACTATTACCACTACTAGTAATGCTGCTACTACTGCTGCTACTACTGCTGCTACTACTGCTGCTTCTGCTGCTACTACTACTACTACTACTACTACTACTAGCACCGCCACTGCTTTTTATAGTTTCCAGTTTATTAAAATCTGCCAAAGTAAGGTTATTCGTAATCGAGCTTCGGCGAAGCTGAGGCAATATGTACGTGTATAACTTTTAGACTAACAGTGAAGAAAACTTATATGATGCAGCGAATTAGTCCTGGCAGCTCCGGTGCATGAGAAATAAGTACACGTATAATCAACATGCTGGTGAAAATGCAGCTTACTATCTAACATTAATTACAAGATTACTTTCATAGTCTGTTCGTAGATCAGTACACCACCAACTTAATAATTAAAATCGATACTCTTAGTTTTATGAGTAAAGGAAATTATACGGGTTTTAAGAATGCGAATTTCCGTATATGTACTTTTCAATGTGCAGCTTCTGTACAGAGTTGATATCTTCAGCAGACTTCATGATACAAAATATTTTTATAGAGGAAAAGTTCGGAAANTACCGAAGCGGGCAAACGAATAAATAAACATAAAGATAGATAGGCAACGGTTACGAGAAGTGGTGAACAACGGTTGTGAGAAGTGAAGGCCGTGTGCGGTTGTAAGGTGAAGAGAGCTTCCATAATGTGAGGACAAATTATAATCCTCATGGCTAATAACTTCGGAATTAGATAATATATCATTCTCAGTATTAGTATAACAGTATGTGGGAACTCATCAAAGGCTTGGCTAAAGTCGGAATAAATGGAATGGATCTGCCCTTGTGAGCTAAGAGAAACTGTAACAGATTAAAGTAAGTAGATAAATGTGTTGCAGTAGATTTAGCTTTAATATAATTTTGTTCAGATATACAAAGTGCAGCTGTAATAAGATATAAAAAAGTAAAAAAAAAAGCAAACTATCCCTGTACCAGTCCGTGAAGGCCCATAGGTTTGTGAGACGCTGAGGGTCCCACATTATCTAGAAAATCGGCTCAAAGATGGCGGTAAGATTGTCAGCCTTACGCGCCGGCCGCGCTTTACTCCCCAGAAAAATTATTTAATTAATTCCTGGTACATATTTCTGTTAGAGGCTGAGTAAACCCCAGGGTCCAAGCGGCCTCCGTAGTCTAGGGGTAACGTTCCCACCTCATGACTCAAGGTACGCGGGTTCAAACTCGGCGGAGGTCGTGGAATTTTTAAGGGCGGAAAAATTCAGGGAACAAGTCCTCCGGGAGGGACTTTAAGCCGTGGGGTCCCGTGTCGTAGATTTACGGCACGTAAAAGATCCTCATGTCTCTAGGAGACCTCTGAGCAAAATTAGGCAAAATGTTTCCCTCCCAAGTAGTTTCCAATGCCTCCGGTAGATGGGGAATTTATTGGGTACCAATGCCAGTAGAGGGCCGATCTTGCTGGCAGAAAGGGGAGATAGCGGGCACCAGTATCGGTAGGGTATGGAGGCAGTATAAATTAAAGGGGGACGTACAATAGACTATTAGTCGCGGTGCATGGGGATACCCACCCCCTCTATACTCTATACTGAATAACTGAATAACTGAAACCCCAGGGCCATAGTGCGGCTGGAAGGATTATGTCAACTGAAAAAAATCCAATGACCTCATCGGGACTTGAACCCGTGACCTTCCGGCTTGTAGCACAGTCCCTCAACCATGCTTTCAATACTTTTGGAAAAATTATTTAATACTTCAGTTGTATATAACTAAATAATAAGGAACTTCATAACTTGTACTCTTCGGCAAGTATAATTAGAATGATCAAGTCAAGGAGGTTGAGATGGGCATGGCATATAGGACGAATGGAGAAGTGGAATGCATATAGGATATTGCTGGGAAAGCTAGAAGGAAAGAAATCACTAGGAAGACCAAGACGTAGGTGGGTAAACAATACTAAAATGGATCTTGGAGAGATAGAATGGGATGGTATGGACTGGATTGATCTGGCTCAGGATAAGGATAGTGGAAGGGTTCCATCAAATTCTGGGAAGTTCTTGAGTAGCTGCACAGTTGGCGGCTCCTCCGGAAGGGCTCAGCTCCATGAGTGAGTGAGTGAGTGAGTGAGTGAGTGAATTGTCTATAACCGGTAGCTAACGCACTGTTCCCTTTCTTGAAAATGGGCACAACAGCCGCTTGCTTCCAGAGAGAGGGAAACTTCTTTCGTCATAACCAACTCCGTGGCTTTAGTCCGCAAGCGAACTTACCGACCGAACGATCGCCGCTTGTCGGCGAAGTTAGTGGCAGCTTTAGCAGATAGAGGGTGTCGCGTGGTCAGCCCATCGAATCCCCACGGCTGTTAATCTCGGTTTTCTAGACCGGAGCCGCTATTTCCTTGAAATAACTTCTTAATTATTCTCACGAGACTGAGTGGACACCTTTCCAGACCTACTATTTCTCAGAAAATCTGGTAGCGCTGGGAAACGAACCCGGTACCTCTGGATCTGTAGCCTGGAACTCTAATCATTAGACAAAATATGCGATAAGTTATTTTTTTCATAACAAACTAATATTGAAATTGTGACATAAAACAGGGGAGAACCCGTCTTCAATAATGAAACTTGGGATTTTATCCGGACCGACGTACATCGACGAGCTGAGGCGTCGAATTGCCTATTTAACATGAGAGTCGGAAATGGAAGAAGGTTGAAGAAACCAGCCAGAGTAAAATAAGAGTTGTCTGGAACAACGACAGGAGTTATAAACTGAACTAAAATGATAGGAAAACTCTTCAGAATCACACTGAGACTCTGGTATTGCATTTTCACGAATTCTGAACTAGGTGACGGAATCATAATTCTTTTCAATGGCTCTTCCAGCCCATTCAAGGCCCTGGCCTCTTATTCGATTCCGTAATCATTTTCACAGATTTTAGAGCTCCTTGGACGACTGATCAGCTCGTCGCAAGGCCTCTACATAAACACAGGACAACACCAACACAGAATAAACGCATACACACGCCATACATGCATGCCTTAATTAGGATTCGAACCCACGATCCCGGCTTCCGAGCTAGCGAAGACAGTTTATGCCTTACACCGCCCGACTACTGTAACCTTCTTTTCAAACTTAGAAACGTGTTTGTAAAAGTCACATCTTTTGGTTCTTAGGTTATCATCGATAGATTTTGACCAACGAAACCTGTCGGCTGTAGTGGTAAGTTTAGTCAATATGCAATAATAATAATGTAGCCCGCACACTGGCATGCGTCGAAACATGTAACAGTCAAGAAACGACGTCTGCGACATGACGCAAAGAAAGGAGCAGAGTTGGAACGAATGAGATTATGAAAACCGCCGCACACTGGCATGCGTCAAGACATAAAACAGTCAAGACACGATGTCTGTGACATGATGCAAAGAAAGGAGCAGAGTTGGAACGAATGAGATTATGAAAACCGCCGCACACCGGTCGCTGACTTCCCACCGCGGCGGCCCGGGTTCCATCCTGGGTCTAGTCAAGTGGGATTTGTGGTGGACAAAGTGGCGCTTGGGCAGGCTTTCTCCGAGTACTTCGGTTTCCCCTGCCAATCTTCATTCCACCATTTGCTCCACAATCACTCTCACCTATCATCTGGGGCTGGTACAATAGGGCAGAAGTGGCCACAGTAGAAAGGACTTAGTCCCACCTCACTAGCAAAAAAAAAAAACCTGAAATTACCACCAACGGGAATTTTAATCCACAATCTAGAAAACGAGGAAGCCTTAACGTCTCACAACCATATGTGCCTCCACGGACTGTTACAGGGATTACATTAACTTTCCTTAAGGGCCGCGCCATAGCTCAAGCGGTTAGTCGCTGGCTTCCCACTGCGGCGGCCCGGGTTCGATCCCGAGTCTGGTCAATTGGGATTTGTGGTGGACAGAGTGGCGATGGGGCACGTTTACTCCGAGTACTTCAGTTTCCCCTGCCAATCCTAATTTCACCGGCTCCACAATCACCCTCACCTATCATCTGGGGCTGGTACAATAGGCCAGAAGTGGCAACAGTACAAGGGACTTAGTCCCACCCCGCTAGCGATAAAAAAAAAACTTTCCTTAGGTTCTCCAACAGTTTCAAGGTCATGTCTTCTCTTGACACCTAGTAATGATTTGAAAACCGCAATTAGAACTCGAAATTGAGGGAAGTGCGGACTTAGAGACCGGAAGAAGGTAATGGGTAAAGAGTCTGTCATTTAGCAAGGTTTCACTAAGGCTACAAATTTTATATACGTAAATACTATCCTCTTTTTTCCCTTTGGCGCTACAGCCCCAATTTGGGTCTTGGCCTTCCTCCGTGAAACTCTCCGTGTCACTTCGGTTTACTAGATCTTGGACATTCTGTAGGACTTCTTGTACACAAACACAGAAAAACGCGCGCGCGAATACACACACACAAACAAACACTAAACATTTATGCCCTGAGTGAGATTCGAACCCACGATCCCAGCTTCCGAGCGAGTGAAGACAGTGCATGCCTTAGACTACNCTGTCCATAATGTAATTACTTGTATATACACTGTGCTCTGTCTGTAATTAGCCTTGCGGCTCTTGACTCGGCACATAAGTAATAAAGAACTGAATTGAATTAACCAAATTTTATTATTATAACATTTTGTTAATTTAATTCAAATGTTAATAATAACATTAATAAAAACATTAGGTAAGTTGGGTAAAACTTAGAAGGTAACAGACAAACATCTTCTGCATCACCTGTGATTCCACTGGGCAGGTGAGGCTGCCTGGACAACCAGTCTCGCAGATTCTCAATGTCTTCTGTCTTCAACTTCGTATCTTTGGATAACTCTTCTTTAACCGTTATTTGCGCCATTGTTGCATCAGCCGAACCTGCAGATACGTTCATCAATATTTTTAAAGAACCAATTCAGTGTTCTGCGATATTCTGAACTAAAATGAATTTCCGTGCTTTTAACGATATTTCATAAAATGTGACAATAGCAGTGAATCTAATTTAGGTATGTTTTTCAGTATCCTGCTGATTCATTGTAGTAGCTCTAATTTTGCTACGATTCTTTCATGCCACACTTCTTCCCGTTGTTTATGCACTTATATAGTGTCATTCGGCGTCATATATTTCCATAATCCAAAGATGTCAGTCAAAGATACTACGTATCATTGCTAACGCCCCATGGTATGTTTCCAATATAACACTCCATGAAGACCTGAAAGTGCCGCTAGTGAAGGAAGTCATAAAAGGGAAAAGCACAAGATACCTCAACAAAATAGAAGGACATGAGAACGTACTAATGCAACCGTTACTGGAACCTCACAAAGGACGAAGACTAAAAAGGAATTGGCCAGCCGACCTGAGAGAGGGTTAACGAGGACTTATCGCAGGATAAGCCCTCTCCACGTCACGAAGAATACTACAGCTAATTAGCTTATAGAATCAAATGTAATTGTGATTGCTAATTTTATGTAAATAAAAAAAATATATTCTAAGACAGTGACATTTTCATTAAACGTCATCTATAGAAACAGAATATATTACGTTTGTGTTTGACTGAAAGCCATATCAAGTGGGACACGTGTCATCTAAGTATGACTGGAGGAGATGGGTTTCTCCGGGTATACCTCATACAGTGCTGTTGCAACTGCTTTATGTAAGCATTCGCAGACAGCCGACAAGTGGTATTTTTCCAGTTTGGGAATTGAGCGGGAAGTACATAACTTTATGCAAGTGCAATGCCTAGGGCATACATCACGTGTGCCAGAACTGAGAAATGCATACAAAATGTTGGCAACGAAAACTCAAATTGAGAGATCCTTTCAATGCCTAGGCGTAGACGGAAACATATTATACTAGGTCTTAATGAAATTTGGCGTGAGGATGTGGGCTGGAATCATTTTGATCTGGATTGCAGCCAGTAGCGGGCTACGGAGACCTCAGTAATAAAGTTTCAGGTTCCATTCAGTGAAGGACATTTCTTATCCAGTTGAGGAACTAAAGAAAGTTACTCACTGGAATGGACTGAAATTGTGTAATAAATTTAGACTGAAACTTGTTAATTTGCACCGCTGGAAAGCATAATTTGTGCTCAGCGCCTGAGGACCAGAGAAAACGCTGCCCGGCATGTTAGATTTTAGCTTGATGGCGGAGGTATGCAGTAAATATTTTTCGGCAAGGTACATTTTAGTTCAAATCAGTGCGTGTAACCTCTAATTTTGCACTAAGTTACTCACATGTGCTCTAAATCGTGAACGTCCTTGAAGTCTGTACCTTCAATTGGGAACATTGTTTTTCGTGAGGTATAAGGTTACCATGGAATGACTATGAAACATCTACAAGACAACACGGCATCATGTCCCAGAAATATGTTTTTTTTTTCGTTTTTTACATTTATTTTATGAAACAGGCTTTGAATGTATTATTGTTATTACTATTATTATTAGAGCCGGGATAGCGTATTCGGTATAGCGACTGGCTATAGGCTGGAAGACTGAGGGGTCGGAGTTCGAGTCCCGATAGGGTCAAGAATTTTCTCTTTTCCAAATCGTCCAGACCGGCTCTTGGGTCCACCCAACCTCCTATCCAATTGGTACTGGGGGTCTTTCCCCGGGGGTNCCTACTTGCCAAGTTCGAGACTTCTCTACTTTTAGCGTTCGTCCCACAAAAAGACACTGTCCCTCTTCTCGGTGCGCCCTTGCTACCAACGTGGTGGGTAAAGATCTCGACAAATTTGCAGACGGAGCGGTGTCTCTGAATCATATTTTACAAGCATGTACCAAACCTTTTACGGTGTTACTTGATTAGTGTTTTCATTCACTACAAATGTGTATACCTCGGCTAACTTTAATTTTCTTATGTAATTGGTTTTAATTTATTGACTTGTTATTAATTTTATGCTATCACTCCCAGGTGTCTTATCTTAGTATTTAGTCACTAACAGTATTAGCAACATTCGTAATATTTCATAAATGTATGTATATATTTCAGTCTTCTTTAGATTTATATTCACAGATTTATTTGTCATATTTGTATTTTGTTTTAATTGTTTTCTGTACCTTATATACTCATGCTAACTTTGTAATTGGCCACTATGCTGTTAAGTTATTGCACGTAAATAAACATGAATTGAATTGAATTGTACAATTTTGTTTATGTCCTATGCATGACTGGACTAAGAACAACAGATTGCAGTTTAAAATAAATGACCACAAATAGCAGTGACCTGTGAAGTGTCATAAGGAATGTGTGGGGGAAGTGTCTCTCCTAAACCAGCTGTCCACGCATACCTCAACTATCATAACAAAATGTCTACCTTGCCAGAATTACACAAACATCCATGCCCTGAGTGGGATTCGAACCCACGATCCTGGTTTCCAAACGAGCGAAGACAGTACATGCCTTAGACCGCTCATCTACCGTGACCGACACGTAGTATATGAGGTTTAGAAAAACATTAATCGTTATTTATCCAACTAGTTTTAATTGTAATTAAGTTCTGGGTTACCAAGTCATTAATTAATTAATAAAAAAGTAACCCTTACGTACCTGTGAGGAAGACTGGTCGCAAGGTGTGCCAGCTAGCTTGATGTCTGAGCTCTCTTCTGTTCAGTCGGTGCTGTTATACGCGTATCTCGTTCGCCTTGTTCATGCACAAAACCGGTTCTCGACTTGGCTGCAATAGCAGGAAAGTTTGTTCATATACCCAGTTTATTTTATGATTTTATATGTGCAAGACCATAAATAAACGTATAAATCTTTATAATAGTAAAAATATCCGTTTATCGTACATTCTAATGATGCAAGTCATTTCGTACAAGTAGAGTCCGTTCCAGATATTCCACTATTTCCTGTTCAATACTTTCAATCTTGGATCGTTGTGCCTTCTCCTTTCTTGCGTGTTGACTGATAGTAAATGTTGTATACCATTTTTCGATTTCAGGTAAATTAAGTAGATTACGAAAACCTTTTCTTATTTAAAAAAGAACAATCGTGGTTGCCTGGGTGCATGACAGGCGAGAATAATTTGAAAAAGAACATTTCAGTGTCCTTTTCATAAGGATATTTCATTGAAAATGGTAGTCCTTGTTTTGGGGGCCCAAAAGATGCTTCAGCAGGTAGTATAAAGAATGTTCCCCGTTCATGAAAACCACGAGAACGAGACAGAAGTGATGATGGAATTCTAACAACTGAGAAATCACAGACGAAATCGTTAGTCAAATTCTCTTCAGAACTTGAAATATCGAAATCAGGTGTGCACCCAGACTTGCAAAAAATCTTCACATCCATATCCGTCGTCCAAAATTTTTGAATGAAGAATCTGATTAAATTATGGATCGGACCTTTTGAGGCTTTGCTTCAAACATTCCCGATGTTTGCCTTCACGCACAAAAGTCTTGTACAGCGACGAATGTGCAATTAATCACAGGAGTCATTCAAGAAATTCTTTGTCTTCCACAAGAAAACCCATACTTTTCTCAGTGAATCAAGAAAAGTCCAAACCCTATCCTGATTTCGACAGCAATTTGTGTGACAGTGCAAAATTGCATGTAAATGCCTCGCAAATTGTTTGTTCCACAATTTGATATCCTCTGTAGCCGAGATGAATTCTGGATCCTACACATAGAGAAAACTAAGTGTATGTTCGTAAGTCGTCACCAAAATGCATGGTAATATCAGGACATTGTGGCCCAGTTCAGATATTTGGGAACGACTATAACAAATCAGAACATTTTGTCTTCTCGTCTCTTGTGTGAAAACATAAAAATTATAATATACAAACCTGTAATGTTACCTGTGGTTCTGTATGGGTGTGAAACGTGGTCTATGACATTAAGGGAGAAACATAGACTGAGGATGTTTGAGAAAAGGGTGTTGTGAAGAGAATTTGGACCGAAGAGAAATGAAGTGACGGGAGGACTGAGAAAACTGCATAATGAGGAGCTTCATAACTCGTACGCTTCTCCAAGAACAATTAGAATGATCAATTCAAGAAGGATGAGATGGGCAGGGCATGTAACACGAATGGGGGAGAGGAGAAATGCGTATAGGATATTTGTGGGAAGGCCAGAAGGAAGGAGACCGCTGGAAAGACCAAGGAGTAGGGAGGTGGACAATATTAAAGTGGATCTCGGAGAGATAGGATGAGGTGATATGGATGGGAGTGATCTGGCTGAGGATAGTGATCTGTGAACAAGGTAATGAACCTTCTGGTTCCATAAAATTCTGGAAAATTCTTGAGTAGCTGCATAATTTGCAGCTTCTCATTAAGGGCTGAGCTCCATGAGTGAGTGAGTGAGTGAGGAGGATGGGGCACGCCTTATTACGCTCTGGCAGTTCGTGAATATCCGAATGAAAGTTTGCAAGAAGATGGACTGCCAGCTGATCAGAAGCGATGCCCGCTCCACTTCAATGGTCTCCACGTAGCCCGGACCTATCAGTCTGCTACAGTACGCTTTGGGGGATCATTAGAAAGGACGTCGGGTAGGAGAGTTGCACTACAACAGACCAAATGAAAGAATGGAATCTTGCCGATTTCAGTACGTCGCACTGTGTTGGTTATGAAATGTGAATGATCACTCAGTTTTTGTGCTTGGAAAACGAAGAGATCCATACCGATGTTATTGATATTTTATGTATAATTGATAAGTTGGAAGCACGCTGTAGCGTAGTTGGTTGATGCACTATATTACTAGCTGGAAGGTCGCGGGTTCAAGTCCCGATGAGGTCAATGAATTTTTTTCAATTTACCTAATTCTTCCAGCCGTATTATGGCCCTGGGGTCGACTCAGCCTCTAACAGAAATGAGTACCAGGAATATTCTTGAAATGTTCTTGGGAGTAAAGCACGCCCGGCGCGTAAGGCTGACAACCTTGCCGCCATTTATAAGCCGATTGTTTAGAAAATGTGGGAGCCTCAACCTGTCACAACCCTATGGGTCTCCACGGCCTGTTACAGGGATACCTTTACTTTACTTGATAAGTTGTGTTTATGATATCAGTGTGACGCCTTATGGAACTGTTACGGTACTTCACTTTCAGATGCCAACTCATCTAAAAGTTCTAGGAGGGCGGGAGGAGCGGCAGAGGAACCTTGGGGACAGACAAAGTACAAAAAAAAAAAAAAACAGACTACTGCATGTTGCGTAACAAGACTGATGGACTAGTTATGTTAGTATATTCCTGTTTCAGAACCCGAATTTAAGACAAAGTGGCGTTATGCAGATGGGTAATACAATTTTCGAAAATCAGTCGAAGTACAAATTTCAGCAATATATACAATTTTTATTCACCAAAGAGTTTGTAAGATTAAATTAGAAAATGAATTTAGAATCTTTCAGCTTCCACTTTAGTATCCGAGCGCCCTAAATATTAAAATACAGAAAAACAAATTTTCCTGCACGTTTCATTGTGAAATTTAATCCAGACTCCTAAAATATTGATTTTACCTAGGAGAGCGGAATTTTTTTTTTGCTATTTTGTGGGCCACGTGAATTCATACTGTCGCCACATCGCCTGCATAGGTTCGCCTAGTTTCCAACATTGCCCGAACTAAACCGGTTTATATGCGTGTCAATCTTTATGGCCTGAAGGACAGAACAAAGACTGAGAGTGTTGAGAACAGCATTCATATGAGAATATTTGATCTCTAGGAGGAGTAACAGATGATGAATAATGGGAAGCTTCATAATTTGTACTAATGACCAGGTATTAGTTCTTCGATTAATTAATTGAAATTGAGATAGGATAAACATGTAGTACACATGAGAGGGCCGGTCATGGTAGCCTGGAGGTCTAAGGCACTTACTGTCTTCGCTCGCTGGGAAGCCGGGACCGTGGGTTCGAATCCAACTCAGGGCATGGATGTTTGGTGTGTGTTTGTGTTGCCCTGTGTTTAGGTAGAGGCCTTGCGATGAGCTGATCACCCGTCCAAAGAGTCCTACCGTCTGTAAAATGATCAAGAAACTGACAAATCAGACCTATGCTCCAAAGTGGAAGTAAGATGAGAGCAAGAGAGCACATGAGAGAGTTGGGAAATACATGTAAGCATTTAGTCAGAAAACTTTAATTCAAAAGATAACTTCTGATACCTTTGCGTGGATGCGTGCAATGTATATTAACATCGAACTCTGAAGAACAGAATGTGGGGGTTTGCGCTGAATTCAGCTGGCTCATTGTATGGTACAGTAGCGAGCTCTTGTGGTTACAAATATGAACCTTCGCATATCACGGAAATTTGGCAGTTTCTTCAGCAGCTAAATGACTACTTACTTTTTCAAGGAAAACTGCCTTAATGCAGTTATGCAGTTATGCTAAAGAGGACTTCACGTGTGATTTGAAGATACAGTGAGACTGTTATGAATCCGTTGCCAGGAAACGGCTAGTGATGAGTGTAATAGATTGAGGACACTAGTATAAATAACAGTGACGTGTAAAGTATGGAATTAGCGATAGCGCTATAAATAATTGTAGTTGCGAGTTGAATGGAAGTCACGCGCAACCCCTCACACGTGACAATATTAATCAAGATCATTCAGCAGGTATGAGATCGAGAATAGCGATTCGAGATATACAGAGTGACTCTAACTTCCCAGTCTGAAAGTTATGAAGAACGTGTGCTGGATTTGTGAGTTATCGGAATGTTGATAAGATGAGGCGCGTAATGTAGCCATAATGAGCTCCAGATATATGTTCATTTAATTAATAAACATTATAGTTTAAGAAAGAATACAGTAAAATATTTTAATGAAATTATTCTTGAAGACTATATTTTAGAAAAGGTTTCAAAATATGTCATATAAGATATCATTAAGAAAAGATTAATGGTGAATGTAAATAATAAATTAGTATGTGCAACTCTTAAAACTTCATGAAAGGCAATTCGGCTGAAGTTCAGATTTGGTTTTTTAGGTACTGAAATATACTTCTCTAATCTGTAGAAAGTGGACTTGTTCTTTTATCAAAAAGTGACGAAAGGAAAATAAAATCGGTTGATATTAAATTTTTAAAACATTTTAGAAGACATANATGAAAGGCAATTCGGCTGAAGTTCAGATTTGGTTTTTTAGGTACTGAAATATACTTCTCTAATCTGTAGAATGTGGACTTGTTCTTTTATCAAAAAGTGACGAAAGGAAAATAAAATCGGTTGATATTAAATTTTTAAAACATTTTAGAAGACATAATTTTAAATTTTCTGTTGGATTACATTTAAACATATTATATACAAGAGAAGGAATAAATGTACACAGATTACAAACTGAAAGCAGAACTCGACTGAACTGCACAAGGGAGATTATCTTAAAGCAACCGTTTTCTTCAACCAAGCAAGTAGATGAATTGATCTGATTGAATGAAGCTAGAACAGTCTCACAGCTTATTCCTCAAAGGAAGAAATGCATATTCGAAGTTGTATCCAACTTATGAATTTATGCGGTGAACTAGTGTAAGAAATATGTTGGTAGTTACTTAAAATATGCGGGTAATTTTTAAGAAACTTGATGAGGAAAGAGCCTACATATGAAAGCAGGGGTTGAGGAGTGAGGATAATATGAAGAAAAAATTTAAGGAAATAGAATGTGACGATGTGTATTGTATTTATATCTGCAGTGACTAGTTACTAGTCGGATGTCAGTGTCAATTTGGATTTCCCTTCTACTTTCTGCCGGTTTTAGATCTGTCTGTTCAGTACATACCGAAGAATTATTCAATGTTGGTATAGCGGCCATAACGCAAAGCTGACCGCTCACTTCCATCATTTGTCAGGAGTTAGAATTCGCCCGTCCACACCCCTCGGTTTCAGGTCTTGAAAGCTGACCAAGATATTCTCTGGTTTTATGAAACCGGATATCTCATTACCGTGGTCACAACATCCTTCCATTTGCTCATGTCTTGAATCGGTTGAATTCAATCAATATCTTACATTCTTTTTCTCTTAGGGCAATTCATGCAGTTTCTCTATCACCTATCACTCACTTTGTGTCTTCTCTTCAGTTTATTTTCTCAGATATCTTTGCTTCTTCTTCCCCGTATGCGTGCACTCTATCTATCTATCTATCTATCTATCTATCTATCTATCTATCTATCTATCTGTCTGTCTGTCTGTCTGTCTGTCTGTCTGTCTGTCTATGACTCTGCAGTTCTTTTGTTGGATGCTGGTCGCTTTTTCAGGTTCTTAATCCTATACACAGTCGGTAGGACTCCTTGGAAGGGTGATCAGCTCGTCGCAAGGTCGCTGCCTACTCACAGAACAACACAGACACAGAATAGACGCACACGGACATACATACCTCGAGTGGGATTCGAACACACGATCCCATTGTTCAAGCGGGCGAAGGCCACCCTGACCAGCATGCGTGCACTCAACTCTTACATTATAACCCTAATATTACGTGTATTAGGTGACGCATAGGCAAACATTTGTCTGGTAAGTTTCCTAATGAGAATGTTGTGAAACCAGAGAGGCTTTATCGCTTATCTGCTTTACTCTGGAAAACGTCAAGATGTCCGAAAAGAAAAAACAGCAAGATTCAAACTGACTGAGATACGTCAGTTTCTGGTCTAAATTTATGGTGCTAAATTATTAGATTAAACAATAAATTCTCGTATCAATGAAGGTAGACACAGAAGATCTGTTCGGCGCTCGTAAGGTGGTTGTTGTAGGAGTAAACACTAAGACAATTAAATGTAAGTTTATGCCTCGTACCCAGACTGCAGACCAAAGTTATATATATATAGAGATACATAATAGATCCTTTGAAAATGTGGCAAAGATCAGATAAGTGGAAGGACACAGACATATTGAAATTGTGTTCTTTTTTTTTTTTCTTTATTTCTTTCCTTTACTGACAATCAGACTGTACAATCTGTAAGTCAATGTGCTGATTGGTGTACAATTTAATAACTGTTTATTGTACACTCTTCTGGCGCATGCGTAATAAACATCCAATAAATTAAAGTGAAGTTAAATTCGAAGGTTGCTTTCTACGATTTTGGTCAAAGCTCTTTCTATTCTGGACTGGTTCTTAAAGGCGTAGCAATTAAAATATTCAGAATTATTATTATGCGTATAATTCTGCATGAATTTGAAGCTTTGTCTTTCACATTAACGAGAGGAGACCGACTGTCAGTGCTTGAGAAAGGGATGCTTAGGGGAGAGCATTTGGACCTTAGAGAGACAAGTATCATGACGTCGGAGAAAACCGCAGAAGGAATTTCATAACCTGTACTTATCGCCAAATATACTTGTAGTTACAATGATGAAATGGATAGGGCATGTAGCACCCGATGGGAGATAAGAGAACTGCTACCAAAGTTTTTGCAGGAAACGCCGTAGAAAGAAAGACAGATAGGAATACCTAGGAGGATGAAAAATGACGTTTTTTTTTAATGTGGCATCGTGAAGATCTTGTGTTAATAGACGTTTCAGAAGAACCTATCGCCTCCATTTTGAAGGTAGAAAAATCCGCGAGCGAGGAAACAGCGTGAGCAGATCGTTGCAGCCACTCGGCGCCACATCCCAGAAGAATTCGTTCTTCATAGTCACCGTCGTGAAAACCTCAAATCTTACCTAGGAGTAGATAAAAGGGTACTACTAAAGCGGATATTAAGGAAATAAGAGCGTGACTGTGTGGACTGGATTTATCTGGCTCGAAATGGGGACCAGTAGCTGACTCTCTGAACACGGCAATTAACTTTGTTATTCCACAGAATCACAAGAATTTATTAGGGAGCTAAGCAGCTATTTGTATGTCAAAAAGGATTCAGGTCATTGGATTTAATTAGCTATATTGACCGAAAAGAAGATACTCCTCCTCATGTTATTTCATCATTACTCGGTTACATCACTTATCCCCTTTATCACTTTGCCCTCGAAAGCCTTCACTGCATAATCTTTCCTCTGTCTGAGGCACGAAATTTCATATTCATACATAAAGGTAGAAAGAAGTTTATAGTTCGGCAATGGAAGTTTTTAATTTCCTTCAATTTGCTCACTCTCTAAATTTATTTACAATGCATCCTGTATAGCGGTTGAGTACTTCTTCTGCAGCTTTCTGAAGCTGTACCGCCCTGAACTTGCATCTGGGAGATTACTGCCACCGGCTACTACGATCAGAAATTTCGTGGATTTCTACGGTGCTTACAGACAAACTAAGCCATATTGCATTGATATATTATCCAATCCCAGTTCTCTTCTTACTCACAATTCGTGATTATCATTCCATTTCAATTAATGTAATGCTGTTAATTCGCGTACCACTGGGAAGATTGAGTAGATTGATAAGCTGGGATGATATGGATTGGATTCATCCGGCTCGGGATAGAGACCAGTGGAGGGGTCTTGTGAAAACGGCAATGAATCTTCAGGTTCCACAAAATGCTGGGAAGTTCTTGCGTAGCTGCACAATTGGCGACTTCTCAAGAAGGATTCAGCTCCATGATTGCTTGATTGAGTGAGTGAATGCGTGTTAATTCGCGTAAGGCTGTATTCCATGCTCTCAAGGCGAAATCTCCTCTGCCCTGAAGAACTCTGGACGGCCTGCACACAGTGCCAAAGCAGTGAAAGCTACAAATATATCTCTTCGTACGACACGTGTGTGGAGGGATATAAATCATGCTGAATTATGCAACTATTTTGTTTTCCTGGAAAATTTATGAAGAAACATAGGAAACGTAAGTCAGTAAAACCTTCTTTGTGGGGGGGAGGATAAAGAGGGGTTCTATTCTACATGGTATAAAATCGAACACAGCCTGTGTGTAACAAGCGACGGGTTTTTATTTCGATTGAGCATTGTTGGGGAAGGAATAACAAATTAATTTGGCTTTATCGTCTCTAAAATACGCAGAATAGGAATAATAAAGAGAAATAACGGGATAACAGAGAATAGAAAACGAAAGAGGAATGAAATAAAAGGGAGGATAAAGAAAAGGGGAGAAATACCGTATTTACGCATGTATAGGCCGCGTGCGTGTATAGGCCGCAGCACAATTTTCGGACAGAAATTATAGAAAAAATAATTTTCTTGGAATATTATTTCAGGAGTAGAAATTATTCCGAAATTTGGCAACGTTTAACATTTTTTAAATGAAGTGTGATTTCGAATATTTCGAATATAAGCCGCACCCCAGTTTTCCTCTTGAATTTTTGGCAAAAAATGTGCGGCCTATACATGCGTAAATACGGTGTACAGGGAGATTGAAGAAGGAAGGAAGAAAGACGAAACTTCGTACTGCTCAATAACAGTGTCTTATAATCTTACCTCCGTTAGATGTGCTTGTAACTGGTAACTTGGATTATAAAAATATACAATATGTAGGCTTACGCGCAGTATAAAATCGAGTATCTGTATATAATGGAAACCTGTTTGACCCAAAAGAATACCCACGTTCGTTGGAATTTAGATGTAAGCGAATTGAAATGTACTCTATTGACTGGATCTCGACGTGCTTAAATTGCTTGTCCTTCCTTCAACTGACGCCACAGTTCTGTTTCTGTTTATCAGTATCGGCATATAACACCACTGCCAACCGAGCAAAGCAAACCTCGTCTCTTCATTGCAGTATCGTTACTTCTCTATTTCTCTACAGCCTTTTGTTGGACCATGCCGTTTTTCAGTTTTTTAATCCTATACACAGTCGGTGAAACTCCTTGGACGGGGGATCAGCCCGTCACAAGGCCGTTTCCTACAAACATAACAACGTAATCACAGAATTAACGCACACAGACATACATGCCTCGAGCGGGATTCGATCACACGATCCCAATGTTTGAGCGCGCGAAGACGGTTCATGGCTTAGACTACGCGGCCACTGTAATTGGCCACTTTTCAATATTGCTTACCTTAAGAAATTTAACAATTTGTTTCGTATATACGTAATATTTATAATATATCATAAAGTTTCTAGCCTATTACGTTTCCTCATACGAGCTTCTGTACTTACATTTTTATTACTCGTATATGTAGCCGGTGTGCTGTCGTTTGAGGAAATGTCATAAACCCACATAATATTAAACAGTTTTTAAAAATAAAAGTAAGATTTTTCAGTGATGTAATTTGTATTCACTTTTATAAAATTATGTCTAGAATACATTTATAAAATTGTAAAATCTATTGGTTAAATAACGGTAAAAATAGGGTAGTGAGAGACACTGGCATGGGTGCAGCGCGGCGTTGCAAACATGCATAGTAAAATACCTCAGATCTTCATTGACCGTTATAAAGACAAACTTGGGCTGGCCAGCCAGCCACGGAATGGGAAAGGAAGGGGAATACCACCTAGCCGCGGAGTGACGGTAGGAGGGGAATACCACCAATAGATTGCGTAAAGAACCAAATTCTTCCTTGTACTTCCCCGTTGCCCTTCCTATCCTTTATCGTCCTTTTCACTCTTTCTCTGGTACCTTTGCCCCGAGGTATTTTGTGCCGAGCGAGAGAATGTCCACAGCGATGATGAAACGTTTTCTTTGTCTTCTTCTAGTCGTAATGAAAACCGAGGAAAATCTATAAGGATCTGAAGGAATTCCACGTTTCCCGAGAACACCATGTAAATTCATTGCACTAGGGAATATTCGTGCTAATACGGTCTCGTCTTCAGACTTGTGACGCGCGTTTGGAGAAGGGCAATTCTGATAGCAAGTCTCTTTTCGTTAATCTGCGTCCAGTCTCTTGATAGGAACTTAATTATCGAGTATTTCCCCCATGCACTTCGCCTTCACCGGCCTCTTGGACTCGTCCACGCGGATGGCTTCCTCGTCCTTGAACCAGCCCGTGCACAGCTCCAGTTGTTCCACCATCACTTCTGGCAAGAAAATGTAAAAGTAAGTAAAGCTATCCCTGTAACAGGCCGTGGAGGCCCATAGGGTTGTGAGATGTTGAGATTCCCATATTTTCTAGACAATCGGCTCATAGATGGCGGTAAGATTGTCAGCCCTAAGCGCCGGCAACCCTTTACCCCGAAGAACATTCCAAGAATATTCTTCATACTCATTTCTGTTAGAGGCTGAGTCAACCCCAGCGCCATAATGCGGCTGGAAGGATTAGGTCAATTGGAAAAGTCCAATTACCTCATCGGGATTTGAACCCGTTACCTTCCGGTTTGTAGCATACTGCCTCAAACTACTACGCTACAGTAGTAGTAGAAATAATAATGATAATAATAATAATTCAATTCAATTCTTATTTACGTGCCGAGTCAACAGCCGCAAGGCCAATTACAGACAGAGCACAGTGTAGATACAAGTAATTACATTATGGACAAACACAATATAAAGTCAAAGACAAATTACAGGCAAACACCGGGGAAAACACAGTAATGCAGAAAAGTAAACATACAAACAAATGATAATAATTGCAATAATAATAATAATAATTTCATTAACATAAATCTAAGTGTTATTAAGTACTGAGAAATGAAACATATAAATATTTAATTAAGAAATGAAAAGTATAGATTTTCAGAGAGGATAATAATAATAATAATTCAGTTTATTGTTGTTTATTGTACATGCAAATAATAATCACACTAACAATTATACTATATTTAAAAATCGTTTAGGGAGAACTTTCCTGGCTCCGAATACGTCAGCGCCCCTGAAGACAACATTAGCAGCTGCTGCACATCTAGCACAGGTACAATTTTTAGATGAGGAGCAATCATTAACAAAGCAAAATCTCTGATATACCGAGCAGGAACTCGGAGGCCAACAATTTCCAGAACAGAAGGGCAGAATTTCGAGCCAAAATAAACGTGAGTAAGAAAGAGAGCATCGAGGCGATGTCTTCTAGTACGTAATGTATGCAATTTTAACTCCTCGAGAGCAAGAGAATAATTGTAATGAACTTGAGGAAAGAAACGTTTAAAACAAAGGGCCGCAAACCTCTGCTGGATGCGTTCCAGCTTGTTGGCATCAGTTGACGTAATCGAATTCCAGACTACGGACGCATATTCAAGCTTAGATCTAACTAATGCAGTGTACAATCTGAACATATAGTCTAGAGATGAGGAATTGAAAGTAATGTCACGAACTAGATCAACTGTTTAGCACAGTGAGAGAAAATGTAATTGACCTGGTCATGGAAATATAGCTTAGCATCAATAAACACTCTCAGGTCTTTTATAGAATCGGTCCGGGCTATTGACGATTGACAAAGTTCATAATCATAGATAAGTGCGTTGGTTTTCCTTGAGAAGGATATAACTTTTGTTTTACTGATGTTGAGTTCCATACAGTTAGCAGTGCACCAACCTTGTACAGAGTTAATGTCAGACTGAAGTAGATAGCAGTCCTGAGGAGAACTAACGGCTCGGTAAATTTTGACGTCATCAGCAAAAGCAGACAGAGTGGGCAACTGCATCGCACATGTCATTAATAAACACAGTGAAGAGAAGGGGTCCAAAGACAGATCCCTGAGGAACACCGGAGAGAACTTCAAAAGGTGAGAAAATAACACCAGAAACACGGACCTGAGATTTCCGGTTGTATAGGTAANTAAAGATAATAATAATAATAATAATAATAATAATAATAATAATAATAATAATAATAATATAACAACTTCTTTGAAACTGTCTTCGCTCGCTTGGAAACCGGGATCGTGGGTTCGAATCCCACTCAGGGTATAGATGTTTAGCTTGTGTGTGTGCGTTTCTCTGTGTTTGTGTACAGGTAGAGGCCTTGCAACGAGCTGATCACCCTCCCAAGGAGTCCTACCGAATGTGTAAGATCAAGAAAAACCTAAGTGAACGGAGAAGTTCATGGAGGTAGGCCTAGGCCCACTGGGGCTGTAGTGCCAAGGGGGGTGGGGGTGAGGGTGGGCGGAACCTCTTTGAAACGTTAAACTGAAAATATTCCGTATCTGCTTCCTCTATTTGTTTCTTGAGACTGAATCTTTCCTTATGAAAATTTACGTTGCTTTTGTACTTACCCGCAGTCCCTCCCAAAATTTTGCAGCAACCAGGTAGCGATCGGTGTCACCGTTCGCTCCCTGACTGATCGGACATCAAGTGCACTTGAATGCCGTCTCCTCTCTGTCGAAATACGGCGGATTTCATTGCGTCGCCTTCCATCAGGAGACGTCGAATGAATGTCGCGATGTATGAATATTGTACTTTTGACAAATAGGTTTTTAAGTGGCAAAGTTTGCTATTCTAAATCCATTGTCGTTACTTATTTCGTGAAAACTGTCATTCCTAATTGTTGGTTTGAAAATATCTTCTTTACCTACTTTGGCATTGAAATCTCCAAACAAAATTTTCATGAGGTATTAGAGAAATGATCGAATACACGTTCTTCTTTCTCATAGAATCTGTCCTTCACATAATCAATTTCATCCTCTGTTGTGACATGAATATTCAGAACAATGATATCACACCAGCGAGCTCTTAGTATTATATGAGATGTATCACTAACGAACTCTACCCTCTTAACTGCTGATATGATCATGTTATGTGGAAAGTAACCTGTCCTAATTCATTATACGAGTACTCATCTTCTTTTCAAGAGGAAAGTGCATAATCTCATTCTGCTTCAGTGCCACCCCTGTCTCACCCCCCCTCCCGCATTGTCAGTAGTTCTATGTCATACGTTGCTTTTTCTCTTACAACGGTTGTTAGTGAATTTGTCCTTGTAGAGACTCTTACGTTTCACGTGTCTGTTTTTGTTGCTTACGTTGTTCCAAAGAATTCACCTGATCCCTTCTTCCTGTGTAACATTTTGCAGCAAACTTTCTTTTACGGTGAGTACTTGTTAGGCCCAGACCCAACCCCCAAGTTGGATATCCACCTCTTTTCGGCTGTTCGAGACTCATTTTTTTATATTGCCCTCCATAACTTTGGGCCATCTACTCAATCCGCAGCATGAGGACGGGTCGTGACTAGAAGAGAAAGCGACCCATTTAACCTTGGCTTATAGTGTATATCCACGTACATTCATACACCTATGTACGTGTTCTAAGGAGCTACCTAACTCTCTTTTAGTTAATAGCCTGCCCCCATACGCTCACATGTAATGTAACTAGTCGGTAACTGATATTTTAAACGCCGATATGAAGTAAATTATGAATTTGCCTGTGTCAGGGTAATAATAAAATACGGTGAAGTAATGTGAAATGGATTAATTAAACCTTAGATATCTTATGATCCGGGGACGGTTCTTTATTTTCTAGGATTGAACTCGGGCCGCAGCGGTGGGAAGCCAGCGACTAACCGCTTGAGCTATGGCGTGGCCAAGCTAACCCTTTAGTTGCGAGCTTATCTGTATGCATATCTGGTTAGTTGCTTAGCTTGGCACTTAATTAGTTAATTAGTTTAATAGTGTCTTAGCAAGGAAATGTTTTTATCCGCAGAGAGGGGTGAGACTTAGACCCTTGGTACTTAGTCGTAAAAGACACATTGCTCTATTGGTACTTAGTCGTAAACGGAACATTATGCGATTGGTACTTAGTCGTAAACGGAACATTGTGCGATTGGTACCTAGTCGTAAACGGCACATTGTTCTATTGGTACTTAGTCGTAAACGGAACATTGTGTCATTGGTACTTAGTCGTAAACGGCACATTGTTCTATTGGTACTTAGTCGTAAATGGAACATTGTGGGAGTTTCTGATGTACACGAGAAGTAATGGAGCACTTGGTGGAATGAGAATTGGCAGGGGAAATCAGAGTACTGGGAGGAAACTTGCCCCAGTGCCACTTTCTTCACCCCAAATTCCACACGTGCTGGAATGGGAGCTTCCGATTGACCAGAAAAGTGTTCGGCAAGGAATGTAACTAGTTAGGTTCTTATTTGAATTAGTAGCTGTTAGTTACACATTCACTGAGTTATGCAACCCTGTTACTGCGCATCCAGTAACACAAATGCAGATAAACAGATTATCGTGACGTTTCTCATTCGGATATGACGACAAAATATAGGTATATACGTATATATATTGACCTTTACAGACTATTGCTGTAGGCTAAAGGCTGGCTTATATTGGCTTTCAGTTTGCTCCAATAATTGGGATCTAGTGAATAGATGAAAAGTGATATTAAAAAGAACGTGTATCCGCCATTACTATATTCTACTTGTATGTGCTACATCCAGTGTACTAGTTCCGAAATAATAATCACAGAAAGAGAGCTGTAGAACATGAAAAACAAATCTCTGTGATAAAACATGAAATTTTATCGAATCCATAATATATTGCACAGATATAGTTGAAGTACATAATGTAAACTGACTGTGATATGTCGCCATTGAGTCCAGTTTCCCTCCAAAATCCTTAGGTAGGCTGTCTTTTGAGATATGGCTGTACAGAGTGTCCATCGAAGTGTGTACAAACAACTGAAAGAAATAAGGACATTCTTCAGATATCTGTTAACGAAAGCAAATGCATTACTGTTCATATGGATATCTAAATCATGTCAATAAATCGATTTAATTTGTCCGTCGATCCATCCATCCATCCATCTGCCCACCTACCTACCTGTATACCCCTTACCTATCTAACCACTTATGCATCTATATCCTACGCCCCCTGTGCATATTTTTTCTGTCTGTGCTATCTACGAGTACGTAATATATTTTTACCTTTCTTTCTATATTCTGTATATATTCATCCAACTACTTCTCTGTTTATCTCATCCCTCAGAACATCCCTCTGTCCATCCATCCACCCATACACTTAACGAAGTAACTCCTATGGTGCAGGGCTATCCTCGTAAAGGTTAGTCGCTCTGTTTGTGAAGAAATTCCACACTTTACCGGGACCCAGAAATTGCTTGCATGTTTCCCGAAAATTCAGCATCGAACCGCTTACTGAAACAATTGAATCAAGTGCGTTCCCCGTCAGTATATGTCTGTGTTGTGATAATTAATTTTAATGTAATCCTACATTACGGCGCTGTCCCGCAAATAATACCTTTCTCTGAATTTTCGAACAAAAATTTTATAAATATTTCTTTATTTACTTATGTATGATGTTTATCTCCCCATCGTATTTCTGTTTGAGTTTCATCAACTTAGAAATATTAGGCGTAGGGTGTAAAGTTTTGATTCCCTTCATCCACCATCGCCATCCATCCACCTATTACTTATGTTTTCTCTTAAGTCCGAATATTCTGAGGACCCTCTTCTCAAACATCGTCACTTTTTATTCGTATGCGAGACATTGAATTAGACTTACACAAAATAAGAGGCAAATTGTATTATTCTAATGCACTTTCTTAAGTAGGATATCGGAATATAGAAGGTTTTTAAAGGAATGGAAAAGCGTATTTCCCAAATTCATTTTACTGTTTACTGGTTCATAATTATTGAATTACACACTACCATTTCTTGCACTGTTTTTGTTAGTTTTATATAGGCATGACTCGGTCGTTTGAGCCTCTGTTGTGAAACCCTGGGTTCACCCGGTCAAGATGAATTTGGTATTAAAATTGCTCATCTCGTCCAATAACATAATACATATATATTACTGTTCTCAAATTGTGTCAACCTGAATATGTCTGAATGGAATTCTCCTCTCAGGTAGGCCTACACGTTTTAAACATCATTCTCTTAACCCTCTTCTTTCGTACCTTGTCGGCCATATCAGTGTTACAAAATCGTTTCATTACGGCAAACGCAGCCTTTGTGAAATAGTTGGAATTCACCAGATGTGTTGCCACAACATTGCCAGGGAAAGCCTCCTGCAACAAACGTCGAAGTTACTGTGTTAAATGACTGGCAAAAGACATCCTGTTTCGTTTCCTGTCAATTCATTCTTAGCCCATATTTATTATTTTAGTATCATAAATCTCTTTAAATTTAAAGGCAAAATTATTACAGACCTCTTAAGAATCATCTTTTGTCAGAAATGACAGCTACAATTAAACTCACTGATTAATAATATGCACTATAAGGCACTGCAGATTTTGCATATGCAGTAACTGAGCCAGAAGATATCTAGCGTCCGCTTTTCTTCCATTGATATCAGAATATCAACAAGATCACTGTGTAGTTCGCCATTAAACAAGATAGATACATGTCTTTCAGTCACAACGCCAGCAACTAAACAGTGATTTACAGAGATAGGATGGGAACGTGTGGATTGGACTGCTGTGGCTCAGGATAGGGATCTATGGAGGGATCTTGTGAACACGGAAATGAACCTTCGGGTTACATAAAATTCTGAGAAGTTTTTGAGAAGGTGCACAATTGACAGCTTCTCAAGAAGGGCTCAGCTCCATTAGTGAGTGAGTGAGTTCCCAGGTACAAAATAAGCACTAATGTAAGCTTTATAAAATTAAATAAGATCCCTTATTTGGACTTTATTATCGTACACCATATTTCTTCATATACATTACATAATCTTCATTCTTGTTAGTGAGAATTATTTTGAATTATCTCGAATAAAACAAAGGGGCAGCGTAACTGTCCTCTTTTATTTCTTTGTATTTATTTGCCGGCTTCGGTAGATCATTTGACTCTTATCAGGATCGTGTTACGGTAATAACTGAGGAAACCGGAAACTGCACGCTTAAAGCCAGTCCACTGCTAGAAATCAACAACACGACTTCCACTCTCCAGAAATTATTTTATTTCAGAAGCGAAATATTATAACTTCATTTGCAAGCACGGAGTAATATGGCCCTTTATTACTATCAAGGATTAATCGAACCAAAGTGAAGGATTACTGAATTTAGATAAACTTGAGGAGTGCAGCCCAATGACATCTGCCTCCTATGAATTTAAAACGCCAAGTTTCTGAAGACTGCTATCCTGCGGGAGCGTCGCTTCATCCCACGTGAAGGATTGAATCGACGGCCAGACAAGAATAGTTTCCTCTTAGTTGATTTTAACTAGCCAAATTCATCATGCAATCAGCACAAGCCAATCACGTAACAAACTTTGAGAATAAACAGTTCAAAGATATAGAACCCGGAACCCCACATGTGAAAGCGGTTATTTCTTAGTATAGGGTCCAATTACACCCTTCCGAAGACATTTTATGACAGTTACACCTGTCATCGAAACAAAATTCACATCTTCGGCAACCTATAGACTTGCCTGCCGTGTTGGCCTTGACCCCTTCCGGTCACCCAAGTTGCAGGTAACAAAACAATGCGGTTGTTTCTGTCCAGATGCGAAAAGCAAGTCATAACATACTAATAAATCGGTCTCCCCATATAAACCAGTCACCCTACTGAAATGGCTAAAGAGGACCATAGCGTCCCATGGAGAATTGTAAGAGGTTTGGACTCTCACAGTAGAATCTTCTGAAACATTTCGAGTTACAGTTCCACACGTAAATCGTCCTTTTATCGAGTATTGTACATTAAATCTCGATTTTATTTCAAATGTAAATTATCGACAGTTTAAATTTCTTTTCGGCCAAGTTAGAGACTGCAACGTCATCCGAAGCTTGGGTATTTTACTGCTGCCTCGTGGTCATAAGTGGAATGACATTTACATAAGGAGAGTAAAGGCATGATCTCATGCCATGGGCATTACGTATGTATACAAGGATAAAGTAAGTTAGGATTACAGTATGATCCTCTCTGTGTACCGTGCATATTACGAATTCGGATGAAACACAGCATCATGCCAGCATAGTCCACTCCATCTTCATACATGCTTTAGTTTCCTAACATCAATAATACGAACGTATTGACCGTTGGAATATCCGAGATGGGGTGACACTATCAACACTAGGTGGGAATAGATCTCTCAGAAACATTAGGGAGATTCTCGACGAGGTCATTGGATTTTTCAAATTTACCTAATTCTTTCATCCGCATTATGGCTCTGGGGTCGACTCAGCCTCTAACAGAAATAAGTACCGGGAATATTCCTGGGGGTAAAGGGTGTCTGACCAGCGCGTAAGACTGGTAATTTTACCGCCATCTTTGAGCCAGTTGTCTAGATAATGTGGGAGCCTCAACGTCCCACAACCTTTGGGTCTTCACGGCCTGTTACAGGGATATGTTTACTTCTTTCTTTTACTATGGATTTCAGTCGTTATGGACTTCCGTATCAATATCATAACATATATCGATTGTTTATTGCTTTGTGTTTTATGAAATTGTACATGTACTTAAAGGTATTCTTCAACAGGGACTATTTCGTTATTTGTGTTACAAATTGTCATACTTAAATATAAGTTCCAGTGACAAGCTATGCTCCTAATTAAAATAGTGAATTTATATATTTAAAGAAATTAAACCTTGTTTTATTTTAATTACACGAACGTTACTTTAATCATACATTTTATAGCTTCAGAAAAACCGACTGAAATATCTCCCTAAAATAGATTTAGTTCCAGTGAATTGAATGATGTCGAAGAAGCAAGAGTTATTTATGACAGAAAGAAATTATAAATTGTATTGGTACACTAAATCAATATTGATATTGGAAGCTTTTCCCGGATTATTGTATTGATATATAGGTATCAAGTGACACCCGTGATATGAAGCTTTTGTAGAACATAAGACAACACCGCAGCTCCGCAAAATGTGTGTATATATCTCCTGTTTTGTAGCAATATGTGACTAACCGCTGGAGATCGGTAAAAGAAATTTTATATTCACGATGTAGGATAAACACAACAAATATTGTCTGCGAAATTTTTCTGTAGGTTAACAATTACCTAAATTGCAACACTGCGAAATCTTGAAATTTTATCTGTAACGTTTAATCTAGTGGAAATCTGTAGTCTTAGGATAAATTTCACGCAGAAATCAATCAATGAATTGTATAATTATTAAAATTTTGCTGTTTGTAGTCTACTAGAAGGAAAGCAAACGTGGCAAGTCCCTCCCAGAACTTTTAGTTTTAAACGAGAGTCATGTTAAAAGTCATTAACATGGTTGATTATAGCTAGAGCGCTGAGGATATGTTCCAGTTACAGGAATTGCTTTTTTGCTACCGTGGCCAAGAACATGATTGTGAAATAGATTAACATCTCCGTTAAAAGAGGCCACTTATATAATTCCTCAATCAGCCTGCAACTACGCAGTCACCTTGCGGGGTTTTTGTAAACTGTTTTTACAATTCAGAAACATTTCATGCTTTCAGTGGAGCCAAGATTTCGTTACCAAACACAAAAACTCTGTCTTTCCCACAACTTTATAACTTGTCTCACAGATTCATTGTAATAGCATCTTCTAGTATACAGCAGGCAGCAGAAGCACTGTTTTTCCTTCATGTTTCCTGCATTAACACTTATTCAATTTTTCCTCCGTCCCCATCCGTAACCTACGGTCCGCCAGTCTTGGTCTTCTTGATTTAATCACCGATATTCTTATTTGAAGGAGAAAGCTCTAGATCGCATTAAGTGGAGGAACTCTTTTGAAAGAGACTGTGGACTGTCGTCTGACAGATTGCTGATGAATGAATGAATGGTTGAAATTGTGTATATTCAGGTCTACGCATATGTAAATTTATTTCATATGTAACAAAAATAGTACTTATAATAATAATAATACTAAAAAGTAAAGTAAAGGTATCCTTCTATATGTATAATATAAACTCCATCGTAAATGCAACACTTTACTGTAGTTCTTGTCCCCCTTCTTTCACTACATTTTCCGGCCGTAACTCGTAATACAAGGAAAGATATCCCTTTAACAGGCCGTTGACGCTGATCATTCTGAGCCCTTATTTATTTTAATCATTATAGATGACCATGAAATTTATTTCTATTTAATTCTCGGTAATTTAAATTTCAAAAGTCTTATGTTTCGGTATTACTGGAAATGTATCGTGATCTATAATATCGTATTTCATCGTCTGGGACGTGCAATACGGTGTTTATGTTGAAAATTTCTAGATTCTGGCAGAAACAAGAAGTCCGGAGTTATGACATTTACGATCAGTCATAAATTTAGCTCGGGTACAGGGAACCGGACGCGCCTAAAAGGACAGGTCAGAGCTTGTTACAATTGCCTGTGAATGAGGGCCAGTATGATTGGGTTGCCTCGTTCAAGCTTCCTACGGAAGATGGGATGAAAATGTATATGTCAACACCATCTTTCGAATTCTCGGCGTGAGGGTGCAAGCCATTCCACAAAAGGGGAGACTTTCACAATATTCCGAACTGAACGGACGTGACCCTTGCACGCTCCGAGACATAGCT